CTCCTGAAGAGCGGCGAACGTACCATCCAGCGTAGCCCTCGAGACAGAAACCGAAGTCTCGCCCCCTCCCCGATCGCCGTTTGCGCCGCCGACCACCAGAAGCACTAGACTCCCCGCCAGCAACATGCCCAACCCCACCCCGCACTCCCTCCTCCTCCACCAGTGCCCGCTTTCTAGCCTGCTGCCCCGGCAACCTCAACTCCAGGAAGTCAGACATGCTAACTCCCACACTCGGAGGCGAGCTCACAGCTCGACGCCCTACAGGCGCCACCGAAGGGAACCGAGTCTTGTACCGCCCCACCACATACGGGTTCTCACCCTTAGGCCAATGCCCACGGGGAAAGTGCCCGGGGGGGAGGTCCGGACTCAAAGCAACATCCACCAATACCGTAACCACCGAGCCGTCCGACGAGACAGACCCATCAATCGATTCTTCATCGACGGGGGACAAAGGCAGCTCCAGTCCGGCCAGGGGGGGGGAAGAACCGACGAACAAATTTGCGAACACGGGCGCATCATCAGCCACCCATGACGCCTCACCGGCAGGGCCAGCCACCACCCCGGGCTCAGCCACGAATGGCTCAGGCGCCTGCATCCCCAAAGGGAAGGACGCCACCGAGGGCAGCCGCACCGTAGCCACCTCCTCTTCTTCTTCAGCCACCCCCCCGCTGGGAGGCGGCGTCATGTCCCCTGGCCCGCCGAACGGAGGGGAGGGCGAACGCCTAGCCGCAACCAAGGCCGCACGCTCCCGTTCCGACAAGTGGAGTCGACGAGACAGTACCGAGACGTGGTGGCGAAGGCGTGAAACCTCTTTCCGAAGAAGAGAAGCCTCATCAACCGACGCCGAGAGGGAGGACAAGGCCGCTGTGACCTTGCCCGCCGAAAGGGAAGAACCTCGCTTAGACATCGAAGCGACCGACCGAAGCGAACGAACGACGGAAACGAAGAACCTAAAGGCAACAAACGTAAGGACAAAGCCTTACGAGGTTAATAAATGTAAGCAAAGGTAAAGATTCCTTCACGAACAAGACCTGAAGTTATCGCGAGATAAAGTCAGGGACGACGTGGAGGTTAGGTGGATCCTTGGAATGTAAGAAAGGGTGTCCGAAGGAGATTACCAGATTGCGTAAAGAAAGTAAAATATAAAGGGGCACACCCCTTTATATACTAAGAAAATCCTCCATGATCACTAATACAAAAGGAAGTTCTTGGCGTCGCGCGTAGCTGCGATTTCTCTATCGGGTTCCGCTATCTTCCATTGCGCGGCAACACATCCCAACCGTTCGTACAAAGGAAATCCAACCATACAACCAAGAAAACCACAACCAATATATGCAACGAAGAACCCATGCATATTCCGTCTCCATAGCCGGGTGGCCGTGACAACTATATAGGGAATGGTCTAAGAACTACTGAATTAGAATAAGAGAAGTTATTACTTGTTAAAGAACCCTTTGTTGTGGGTAGGAATTGTTACAACAACCTATATACTTGAAAGACCTTAGATATATTTTTTTTATATAACTACTAAAAGAATTATAGAAAAAACATGAAAGAAAAAAAAATCTTAATAGAGAAATAGAGTATAATATTTTTCAATCTTGTAATTTGAATATAAAAAGTTTAGGTTATAAAATTAACATAATCCATATTTCTACCAGTAATAATTAAAGTGGTACTACTAATCAGAAAGTAATAAAAAATTATTTAATCTAATTATAAGTAAAGTGTTGAAATATTTCCTTCAAACAAATACATAGACATAGTATATATATTCTGTATTCAGAGTCAAAGGAGATCTTTTAATTAAATACCCTAATTAGCTTCAACCAACTATCTCCTCCTGGTCTGCTGGGGCTGTGGAAAAAAATTTGTGCCCCCCCCTGTCAGTGCCTAAGACATAGATGACTAATAGACCAACTCAGTATTCTTGAATGGTGCCAGTGGTGGGCGTAGGTACAATCATGCGACGAATATTAGTTACAGTCTGAAGTATGCACATCTGCGAATTTATAGAAATTAACAAAATTTGCTTATTAGCCTGCGTCTCAGACACTAACAGGGGCGGCACGAAATTTTCCACAGTCTTAGCAGCCCAGGAGATAATAAAGATAGTGTAATACCATAATACTCGTATCACGATCTGTCGACTCGGATGTTCAAGTTTGGGTCCCTCCATACGCCTCACCTTAAATTAACCTCTTAGCACCATTCTTGAAGGTTCCGGCACTTACGGCACTTGTATCGTTCCCTGGACTACCCAATGGTGCCGATCTTTCCCATGTCTCCTTGAGTAATTCATATCACTGATGACTCTCCTCCAGTAAGAACGGGGTCTCGCACCTAAATCGGGACCAACGATCCGCCAGGTCTGCCGAGCGCCTCCTCCGTCAGCGGGATGCTGGGAAATTTTACTCAACGGAAGCGCAACATCTCCGTGTCCGGGGGTGAGTCTTGGTGAACAACCGTTTTTGTTCAGGGGGCTCTAAATATCTCTCTTCTACCGGTACTGGCAGCCAGACAGGTGAGCCCAAGACCCTCTCGTTACCGGTACCTGTGCCATACACGGCTCCAACTCTCTGAATTACACCTCTCGGACCTCTATTTAGTCCCCTCCATCCCCCCCCTCCTCCACGCTGCCGCCGCCACCGCTATCCTCTCACTTCCTCTTTACTCTGCTGTTTTCCGTCATTCCTTAATTCTGCTTTTGCTCGCACTCCAATCATGCCAAAGGATAAGGATGGGACCGTTCTGGTCTCGGTAAGTGCGGCTTGCTTGATTCAAACTCCACCTACAGCCCGTGAAAATCGGTTGATTAGGAATAATCCTTACTGACTTTGTCGTAGATGTCCGGGAAGTGGGTTTCCTACACTCACACAGTAACTGCCTATTGTCAGTCATCATATGCGCCGTCCATTGAGATCGATCGCTAATCACTTTTTGTTTTGTTTACGTAGGCGGATTCCTGGGCGCGTTGATCGTGGGAATGTAAGGCAGTCGTGTTCATTACAGCCGCCAACATTCAGAAAATTCTCAACAGCTAAAACTTTTTACCCAGGTCACTCCACTTTCACAAAATTGTTCAGAATGAGCACTATGTAGGTCTTCGCTTGAGTTATCTCCGCCATTGCTGCTCCGGCTCGGGCCTCCCCTGTGGCCTTGTCAGTTACCGAATAATAAGTGTTGGGGTGGCTGATCGTACCTTCCAACAAAACAGGGTTATCCGGACGAATGGTTTCCATCAGTGTCAGCTACAATTGGTGACAGATATCCTGAACGATCGCTGTTTCAGCTCTTCATTTGCTTAACATCCGGTCCTCGTTTCGCCCTCGTTTTCCTATGGTATCTTCTTACCGCACGCCCCGGTGCTTTTGCTCCCAAGTTTGTGGCTAGCATCGGTCTCATCCGTTCGCTACTTTGCGGAGGCTGGGTATACGTTACTTCTACCGACGACCATGACTATCACGATATCTTCATGATTTCTTACCTCGTCTTTACCCTCCCTTGGACTCTGGGCTGTCTCGCTTTGTCCCCAATGAATCGTACAGCAATCAAGTATAGAAAACTACTCGCTGGTCTTTTCTTTGGTACACTTGTACCACTGATTTATTTCTTTATCCAGCACAAAGTCCACAAAGTTGCCGGAGGTAAGCAAGTGGCGCGATTGCAACGTGGTTGGCTGGTCCCAGTTAACAGAGACTGACCATTGCAATAGCTTACACTATTTATGCTTTCTTTGAATGGTCTCTCATCTTATTCGATGTTGGTTTTGATGCTGTTACTGCCCTAGATTTTGAAGGATTCGAATTTAGAGTTGTAGATGTCAAGGGTGTCAATAAAGGGTATGTTCAGTGGCTCCCGCTGTAGATAAATTATATATCTGCTGCACTTCAATATAAAAGATACCCCATATCAAATGCTAGGCGAAAAATTCATTCTAAACAAAATGTTTTGGCAGAAAAAATGCGGCGCTTTCCGACGCAGTTCTCGAAAAATCAAAGTAGGTCTCGGCCCTCCCGAACCTTGGAGGATTTATGGAGAGTCATCTTCTGACATGGAATCAAGGGTGGATAAGAAGCAGATCCCACAGCAGTTTTTAACTGAAACTTACTCGTGGAGCGATATGCTCGACGCTCTTGCCGATGTGTACAGCGGGGTAAGCGTCGAGATAACCCCTTTATTTGTCCATTTATACCTGGTTGCTGACACGCAATGATAGTTCATGTTTTGGTCCATCTTGACATCGCTCGGAGTGACCATTTGGTGTAAGTCACAAGTAAATCGATACAGTTTTGAGACAGGGGAGGCTTACAAAAGCCAGATTTTCCGCTTTGGCATATGGGTATCTCGGGTTACGAGGTGCTTGTCATGGCTACAGTGTCACCATTTTTACTAGGCATCGGTTCAATCCGCAGAATAGTGGTTAGCCATTCCCGCTACGTTTATCTGCTATCCCTACTTGGCCTCACAGCATTCATATCCAAAGTGCCGGAAACCCGTCTCTTCTCTGTTGCGGCTGGCGTTTGGTTTACAACCCTCGCATGGACAGGCAGCTTCTTTGCCGAAAGGGCACAGCCCGGGAGATTGGAGGCGAAGGTTTCTGCATTTTCGCTTGGCCTGATCGCATCCAGTATTGCAAAATTTGCCTGCCGCAGCAATAATCCTATATGGCCCATCATGAATACCGAGAACGGTGGATGGAATAAGACTGGGCTTGTTCTTGCGGTATTGGCGGTTCTCCGTTCGACTGGAAGAGCACCAGTTGGTGAACTCCCATTGCCCCCCCCCAACAAAAGTGGGTCCTCGGTTTTACCAGCTGTCGGCTTGGGCGGACTTCTCTTTGGCCTCCATTCACTGCTGTCTGATTCCAGCACCATGATCACTTGGGTTTGGGATGGATACCCGGTCAAAGGGCCCCTTGCTGTCCCTCATGGTGCATATGCCTTTGTTGCAATGGGAGCAGGTTTCTTAATCGGTCTCTTGCGCGAGGATTTGGCAAGGACGTGGACATTTTACGGCGTCGGGTGCACTGCAGCTGCTATTTTCTATCGCAATTCTGGATGGACTGGATATTATGGCGCATTGGTGCTGGCTTTGTATCTGATGGCTCTAGTTCCTTCATTTATTCAGTCAGCAACCAAACACAGCCCCGGAAAAACCTTTGGCTTATCATTCTTGATTTACAATGTATTGGTTTTGGCACATGTCTGGGTTGTTGCCTATGCTTTTGTCCCCGGCGGTCCTCTACTCCGCGAGAGGACGGACCTTGTCATGACCGTTATGATGTTGGCAATCGGTGTTGGCACTTCCGCGACTACGAGCCACGGGCCAAAGAGTGCTAGGGAGTTGAGGGCGGAGGACTTCCCAAGCCGAAGACGCTTCAGATCTTACGCTGTCTATTCCCTCATCGGCCTGGAGCTCTTCGCAGCATCAGTCGCGTACATACGTTTCCCATCCTTCGACTACCAACCATACCACAAAGGAGAAAAGGTACTGACCGCCGGCATATGGACAGTCCACTTTGCGCTCGACAATGACATGTGGAGCAGTGAGAGGCGTATAAGAGATGTTATCAAGGAAATGGAGGTCGATGTTATCGGTCTCCTTGAATCGGACTTGCAAAGGATTATCATGGGCAACCGTGACATGACGCAATTCCTTGCGGAAGATCTCGGAATGTATGCAGACTTTGGCCCTGGGCCAAACAAGCACACATGGGGAGCTGCCCTTCTCTCCAAATTCCCCATTGTCAACTCCACACATCATCTCCTTCCTTCGCCGGTGGGCGAGCTTGCACCCGCTATCCTTGCGACACTAGATATATACGGAGAGATGGTAGACGTCCTAGTTTTCCATAGTGGACAAGAGGAGGATGTACTAGACAGGAAATTGCAGAGTGAGGGTATTGCAAAGCTTATGGGCGACAGCCCAAGGCCGTTGATCCTGCTAAGCTATCTCGTCACGAAGCCCAAACAGGGCAATTACAACACATACGTCAGCGAGGCGAGTAGGATGAAGGACATCGACAGCAGCGATTGGGATAGATGGTGCGAATACATCCTCTACAGGGGATTGAAGAGAATCGGATACGCTAGAGTCTCGCGGAGTACGATAACAGACACTGAGATCCAGGTAAGGACCCCCTCGATCATGTTTTAGCATTGGCAAGGCTGATCATCTCTGACTTAGTTGGGCAAATTCGTCATTGGAGAACCGGAAGGTACCGATGAAGTAATACCCGAGAGCGAAGTGCCGGTGGGATATAGATTCCCAGGTATGTTCAAAGGACAAGGTGTCCGAGGTCACAAGTATCACGTATTCAACGAGCCACGGTTAGAACAACTGCCCCCACCTCGATTTGCGACCTAGAAGGCTAACGGGCACAATACAGTTACTACCGGTAATCATAATAGACACCGCCACCCTTGGGCAGATGCTTTCCTGCTCAGGTCTAACCTATTCTTAACCTCGATCCTCATATCCGTTACATGGGGTTTTCTCCTTCACTGCGCATTTTTTGCTCATTTCCTTTCTGTATCTGTGCCACGACACTCCGGAGGCTGTAGGATGGTATTGGTTCGCGGCTTGAGATACGATACATATTCTAATACCTGGTTTTTGGGGAGTTGGAACGGATAAAAGGGTTGGTTGCCGGCTGGTTAGCCGGCTGGGTTCGGGGGGGGGTTGGATTGGGAATGATCATGTTCATGGGCTCTATTTGTACAAATAATTGGTATAGGTGTCTTCTATGGCTGGACGGTTCATTACTGTCATGTTTTTAATTGGTATAATGGCTCGGTCGGCAATGCCGGCTTCTCGAGGATGGGAGATATCCAATGGGTTTATGGTTTATTAATTATGTTTGGCAATCTTCAATGATCAATTAGCTTCGTCCTGTACGACACGACCCTATCACATGAATATTGTTGATTGTTTGATACAAGTTGACGCCCCAAACTACTCGTATATAGTCATTTACCTCACCTTCAACAGCTCTGAACCCCACAACGGACACAAAACAATTATCTCATTACTTGTAAAAGCCCTATAGATGCGCCATTATTCGTCATTCATCCAAACATAAGAGTAGTCCCCCCACTAATAATACAGGTCCGAAGAAAACATCCCGCCCGCCGTCGCCCTTCCCCCGAGCACCTTCAACTCCCCGTAGTCCTCTCGGGCTCGACATAATCCAGCGCATCATGAGCCCTAGTAAGTTTATGTGCGATAGCCGGTAACTTCTATCCAGCGGATCAAAAATAAAAAATTAAAATGAGGAGGTCAGCATCCCACTCCCTCTCCAGAAGACCAAAAGGAGAGGAAAAACCCACCGACTGCAACCCCATCAGCATCCCCACCCCCTCCTCATACCCCCTCGCAACCTCCTCCCCCCTCTCCAACTCCCTAACGCCCAAATCCCCCACCTGCCCAACCCCCTCCTCCCCCCTCTTCCTCCCCAACTCCCTCAAAATCCTCTCATCGCCCTCACCCTCGCTCCTCAACGCCTCCTCGAAAGCCCTCCTCGCGCGCCCGGGAGCCTCCCGGCGCAATTGCGCGACGCGCAGCGTCTCGCGCTCCAGCTCCGCGTACAGCGCTGACACGCGATCGTGCAGTTTCCTATCGTACGCTTCGAATTCCTCCTCCCCACCACCACCCGCGGTGGAGAAGGACGAGGAAGAGGAGTGCAGGAACGGGTGAACATCGGCGGGCGCGTCGAGGCCATTTATACTGATGGAGGGTAGGGAGAGGGTCATGGTTTTCTGTACGTACTAAGTTGTTTCACGGCGTTAGTTGGATGTCCACACGGGCGGCAGCGGCGGCGGCAGCGGTGGAGAGGGGGGGTATTACCTCCATGACCATTTCCTCCACGCGCTTCCTCAATTCGTCGTTGTTGTTGTTGTTGTTGTTGCTGTTGGAGGAGGAGGAGGAGGAGGGGGCAGAGTCGGTGGTGGGGGGTAGGTGATGGTTTATTTTGGCCCTTGCGGCGTTGGACAGGTTTTCTAGGATGAAGCGGATGTCCTCTGGGGATTGGACTTCGATTTTTCGCATGCGGTTTGGTTCCATTATTTATTTTTTCCCTTATTTTGGAGGAATGGGTATTGGTGAATTGGGGGGAGGCTCTTTTTTTCCTTGGGGATCCGTGGCGGATTGGTCGCGGAAGGGGAGACGCGTTGTCAAGAGGGCGATGGTGGGGTCATGTGGTTTGGCGATGGTAACTCACTGTCATGAGGCATCACTCGGCTTCGATCATTTTTCCAAGCATCTTTTTGTGGAATGACATGATAGGTTTGTATTGAGGGAGGGGTACCAGTATTGCTCACCCCGGATGTTACATTACTACTCGGCGATACCAGCCTCAGGGTAGTTAGCAGAGACCAGGGGGAGGAGAGTACGGTACATTATCACCCGCTTTATGAACACCTCTATTATAGCGCCCCCTAATATAAAGCATGAAACAAGAGTAGAGATGAAGGAAGATATACGAGTGAAGAGAGTCCCATAACACAAAGCACTGTAGTACAATGACACGATGACACATAACCTATAGTCCAGGAAGCGGCTTCTCAACAGCAATCACTACACCATACGTGTGTGCCTTCTGCATCGCATGACGGTGGAAACACCGTTTGAAAATCGTGAAACCCGAAGACATCCATCACTTTAACCCCTTCGCATTATCATTATTTGGTGACGTCTTCCTGGCCTCCTCGATCATGCTGTGAATTCCTTTCTGCTTTAAAGCTGCCTTTAGCACCCCCCACCCATTGTTAGCCCACCCATCAAGCTACCAAGTGATAGTAAAGACAAAAAAAAGCTAAAAACAACTCACATCCAAACAACTCTTATACTCCTTAAACAAGCCCTCACACTCATTTGTGCTGCCCTCTCCTCGCAAGTACTCTTTCAACCCCGTTAGTCCCTCCTGCTCAGTAGATAAACCAGGAATTAACCATACTTTCTGAATACCACTTTATAAAACAAGTGTCGTACCGCTCCTTCTTCTCAGAACACTCCTGTGGTGGGGTGGGGAGGCTGTTAGAATCTTCCAAGAACCGCCTGCGCCGAATAAATCCGTGGTGTGTTTTTGTTCTGGGGGGGGGGGGGTGGGGCGAACTTACGGGTGCTAGGGATGAGGACATTTAGGGCTTTTTATGGTAGGGGAAAAGAGCGTGGGTGGTGGTGGTGGCAGTGGTGGTGATTTGGGAGATTTGAGAAGGGTTGGAAAGGATGGCGGTGGTTGATGTTGACGTTGTCGTGTATTTATATACTAGGAAGGAAGTATGACACTCGTAAGGAAGGAAGAATGTTTTTCCGGGGGCGCGGTGGTAATAACGGCGGGGCCTTTGCACTCGAGTATGATACGGTAGGCACCAGCCCTGGATGTTGGATTACTGTGTCATGCAAGTACTCTGTTCATCTTGCACCCATGTGCGATAGGTATCGTATCATACGGGTACCGGTATTGAAGAAAGCAGGAGGCAGATCACGGCGTGCAGTGCGGGGGCTAACTGCCCCGTTGTGTCACAATTTCTGTTCCACTGTATGCATCCACGGGTATGATATGGGCACCGGTACTGCACTGTGCCCCAGCACTGTATCTCACCGTGAGCAGACTATTGAGATTTGACGATACACATTGTGACAGGACACTGAAGTACCGATACCAGTACTGGTATACGGTATGTACGACTACAGTGCCTGCATGCTTCCTCCCACCCTGCACCACTCTCTCAGGGTCCAAGGGGCACATCGCACGGCAGGCCTTGTCTCAGAAAATAACCACTTGGAAATGAAATTGCCAAGACAATTAGACCCAGCTGACATAAGTCATGCAGCCTCTGGCCGTCTGGGGCTTAACCGCAACCTACGTGCGAACTTCTTCCAAGACCTCAATAATTCAAACACCCCGGCAGCCTCTTCACTCGTCCACCCCAACCCCCACCACGAGCCCAACTCACTCCACCGCTGCTGCCAAATTTTTCAGAAAATTATTTGAAGAGCAACAGCGACTCAAACAGACTAAAGACCAAAAGCCAGGGGCCTTCCGACAACCATGTCGGACTCTCCAACAGCCCGAGAGGCCGCCGAGCCCTTGGGATTTTCGGAGATGCAAGATCGACTTCTAGCGGCTGTTGTGGCCACCGTCAAAACTTCCTCCGGTCTTGCTGCTGAAGATGTAGACTTCCATAGAACTTCCAATTCTGAGTTTGGGCCTTCCCTGGATGACTGCAATCAGCGAATACTTGCCATCACAAATACTCTGCTGGCTAGCGCAACGCGTGGGTCTGATATCTCGGTACCGAATTTGAAGGAGGCGGATGACGTCGAGAATCACTGGATGAAGATTGTGGAGGTTATTGATGATCTGTTGGAGAAAGCGGTGTGTGCAGTATTCTCTATGCGTGTGCCAAGAATTCTAATGGTGCTTTTGTGTTTAGGACACCTGCCTGGACGAGTATACTGGTGCCATTAAGGAGAAGAATACGGTGCCATTTCCGGATGCCCGAGGGCCTGAGATGGTATGCTCTATCAGGGCGGGACAATGTTTGGGTGGTAGGATAGTATGCTGACTCTGATCATTGGTTTGACTAAGGTGCCTAGCCCAAGCCGTCCTTCGAGGAGGTCAATACAGAAAAGCGCAAACATTCCAAAGCCGCAATTACTATTCAAAGAGAATATCGACAATTTTGATTCTACACCGTGGAAGCCACGTTTAACTTCTAAACCTCATGCTGTGACACCCCTCAGTGAGAGCATTTATTTGTTCACAAACGAACTGGAAATCAATGAGTATTTATCCAAGAGACAACGTAAACGAGAAAAACAGCGTCTAATCAAGAGGCCTAGGTACGCGCATCCGTATCAGTCGGAAATTGAGTCCATGCAATACCCCAGAGAGGTCTATAGTTGGATGGAGCCAATACCCTCCAGGGATTGGGATGAGATTCCTCCAACCTGGGTAGACACCCCGAAGGCGCTTCAGGAGATGATAAAAGACATGCGGAGATGTACCGAGATCGCTGTAGACCTAGAACACCATGATACCCGGACTTATGTTGGTCTGACATGCTTGATGCAGCTGAGCACCAGAGATGACGATTACATTGTGGACACATTAACGCTCCATGGGCAGCTTGAGCCGCTGAATGAAATCTTCGCGAATCCTAAAGTTATCAAGGTTTGCTTTTAATTCTTAAAAGACTGGTGTCCGCTGTAAGTATGTTTGTTGACTGAAAAATACAGGTTCTGCACGGCGCCTTTATGGATATAATATGGCTGCAGCGCGATCTTGGGCTTTACATAGTTGGTTTATTCGATACCTTCTATGCCGCCCAGGCGTTGGGTTTTGACCGCTTTAGTCTTGCTCACGTTCTGAAGAAGTATGTCGACTTTGATGCCGATAAGAAGTACCAGATGGCAGATTGGAGGATGAGGTATGACATAAGATTCTCTTACCTTTCCCTGTCGTCCACTTACGGGTGTGGGGCAATAGGCCACTGCCCAAGGAGATGCTGGATTATGCTCGCTCGGATACCCATTACCTACTCTACTGCTTCGACTGCATGCGAAATTCTCTTGTAGAGAAATCACGGGGCGATGTCGAGCACGTCTTGCAGAAATCGAAGGAGACCGCTCTCCGACGCTATATCCGAAACACCTACGATGCGGTGACCGGAGAAGGGACTTTTGGATGGGCGTCCCAAATTGTCAAGTTCAAGCTCAATCGCATACAAGAGTTTGTGTTCAAGGCGGTCCATGCTTGGCGCGATAAGGCGGCCAGAGAAGAGGATGAAAGCCCATCATATGTTTGCTCACGGAGCACTCTGGGAACTCTTTCGACCGTAATGCCGGTTGATTATGATGGAGTCGCCAGGTGTATTCCTCACACCAATTATCTTGCGAGGAGGAGAATCAGTGAAATCGTGGAAGCGATCAAAGGGGCACTAGAACAAGCGGATCGGGCTGAAGAGGCGGTAACAGCGACAGCGGCACCGGCACCAAGTGCTAGCGAAGCAACCGTGAACATCTTCGGAGGTACTACAGTTGCCGAAGCCAGGTCCACGGCTTCCTCCAAGTTCTGGGGCAATGCATGCGGAAGTAGCAAGTGGGACGGGGCCGCAGCGCCGAGGTCGGCACTGGGAGAGGAAATTAGATTCGCCATTCCCCTCCCAGAACTGACAGCTGCAGTCTTTGTCTCGGGGCCGCCCTTCGCGTCATCGCTCAACACCCGGGAGAAACCAATTGATCCTGGGGCACGTGCGGAGCACCAGTACGTGAAGGACCGGGGTGGAACGAAGGAAAAGGGGATTATCGTTGTAAAATCCCTTGGTGGTGGTGGTAGAAAGAGAAAGGCATCAGGAGTGGAGCAGGAGGGTGACGACGCGACGTCGGACGATCATAACGCCCACTCGCCAGGTTATTCTTCACATGGAGGGAATGGCCGTGAAGGATCGGAAGGGGAAGAAGATGACGACGATGAGAGCGGGGGACCGTTAGGAGTCAATACTCCAACCCCCCTAGGTGGGCCAATGGGCGTTAACAACATGGGGGCTGAGCGCAGGACCAGGAAAAGGTTTAAAAACTCCACCGGGCAGGGGGGGCAGGAAGCTAACGCTCCAACCAGAGGGACCTCCCATGTCGACGTTCGCGATGGCTCTTTCGAGCCGTTGGATTACTCGAAAGCTCCTTCCGTCCTGCATGGCGAGAAGCGCAGCGAGGGCAAGCAGGGCGCAGATGGCAGCAAAAAATCTTCTAAATCCAAGAAATTTGATCCGTATTTCAAGTTCGGAGGGGGTCCAAAAGGCATGCGTAGGAGCCAGCAGGAGAAGGCAGGGAAATCGCTGACTTTCAAGAACTAGATTGTGGCCAGTTCTCTTTTTTTCTCTCTCCCTTGTTCCTCCCTTTTTTTCCTCTTGTCATATAATATCAGGCTGTACTCTAGTGTGGGGGCAGGAAGTACTTACTCGAGTAGAGTGGGGGGGGGGGGGGTGGGGGGCTACTGAAGGGAATTAGAAAAGAGGGAAGCGGTTAGATCCTGGGGTTGGCGTATTGGCTTTTACAAGCACTCGAGTACTTATAGTACCCAGTGGTTCATTTTTTTCGCCAAATGTACAGTACAGTACTATCCTAGCATAACATACTGTACCATCATCATCATTATCATCATCGTGAGCGAGGGGCAAAGGAGAAAATAAAATAAGCACAACCTGTAAGTTACGAGTACCAAGTGAGAAACAAACTGGGAAATTTTTTTCTTTTCTTTTCTTTTCCCCTATATCTTTCTCTGTTGTGTCTAGGTTTTTGTAGGGCGATATGCTATGCTATACCGTAGTATATTGGATTTACGCGTTGGATTGGCTTAGTATTAATGTAGCGCTCGTGGTTTTACTTCAGGAAAGGGAAAGAATCATCTGTTAAGCCAATGTTACCCCCCCAGGTAGCTCATATACAAGTATCATACAGGCACAAGCACAATTACAATCCCCTCCCCATGCGCTGCACAGTGCTCGTACCGTACAGCACCATTGTAAACACAACCGCCTGCCATAACCGTGCCAGAATCTGCGATCCCTCCATCCCACCATCATCATCCCACCCCCCCATACCGTATCATTCCCACCACCACCACCACCACCACCCTCGCCGCTGCAGTAGCACGCATGACGCCTATTGGTATTGGGGAGATTCTGCTCCATCCTGCACATAATCTCTACCCACCACCCCTTTCAGGTCCCGCCAAAGAATTATAGTGAGGATAGGGGCTACTAACCCAAACCCGTGCGAGGAATTAGGGCGACAAGAAGATCAAACTTTTGGCCTAAAACAGGAAGGTTTGGGGTCTGGTTTGGTAGGGCTAGGCGTTCTCAGTTTGTTTTATCACAATATTATTATGATGATACCATACCTTTTTTGATACTGTAATACTGCATTACTGATCTCTCTACGCCAGGTTTTGATAACTGAGCTTTTGGTTTGCGACATACGGATTCTCTTTCTGCAACTACTACCGTATTCACCATAAGGTAGTCGAACCCTTGCAGTCCCTCGGGCAACACAGTATGCACGACGGAGGAGAACCTCGCTATTCACCCCATCCATTCCTCGATCCATCGCTCTGGCCAGTACCGGTAGACGTCACGGTGTGACGTGAACCAGGCTCAATAAAGATCTCCACATGCATACTTATCGACCTACCCTACCCTACCCTACCCTACCCTGCCTTAGAGGGCTACTGTAGTCCCTGAATGTGACAGGATATGGAGGGCTGCCACCAGCCAGCCATCCAGCCAGCCAGTGGGTCAGGTGGGGGGGGGGGGGGGTGCGGTACTGTAACCGCCAAATAGTAATAATTTAATAAGGGCTCTTTTATACTGTAAGTTTGATACACCGTTCCCATACAAGTACCAGCAATGGTTGCCCTTTTTTAACCAAAGTACTCATACCGGTATAGTGCGGCAACCGTAGTGGAGTATCGGCACAGCACCTCACCTCGAGTCCCCACGAGTATTTATAAAGGTAATTATAGGGAGGGACGGAGGTCCCGCTATTTATTACCGGTATGATACGAGCGCAACGGTCGACATTGTTGACCCGTTGGCCGCTGTCGGGTCGAAGCGCAGGGCGGTATTGACAGTGTGAGTGAGTGTGTGTATGAGTACTAGTACTGGTACTGTACTCGAGTACAGGCGATGGGCGCTGAGATCCGTAGCCCCCCTTCTGTCCCTTTTATTTTTTCGCCCCCCTTATTATTTTATTAAACATATACAGTACGGCATGGTGTTGTTAGCTGGGCCGCAATGGTACGGTACTCTACAGTAGCTATGGTAATAATATTATCATGAGGTTTTTCTCCTTTTCTTTTTCTGCTGCTGACTACATTACTGGCAAGATACGGGATAAAGCATGCTCTCATTCTCGCCTATCAGTGCAGTGCTGTTGGAGAAAAGTGTGACGACGTTTAAGTGTGCCCCTGGATGCCCGGACATAGCAGGCAAGAAGCATCCGAAAACAGGGGTCGTGAACTTGTTCTAGCACCGGTACTCGAGTACGCTCGGATACGCTCGGATTTATCGCCATACATCCTGCGAGTCCTAGTTTTCGGGTGCATCTTGCCTGCTACGGTACCCGCACAGCACTGTACTAGTACGGGTGAATGATGGGGTTGAGGTTGGGGTTGTCATACTGTACCAGTGTATGGCGGAATGCCGCTCTGTGCACGTCTGCGTGGTCGCGTAATTACAGGTATATAATACCTCTACCGCTACCAGTGCGGTGCTCTTACGATGCGAGCACGGTACTGGTGGTCTGAGGTACTCGAGTACGGTACTCCTTGTGCTATGCAGCGTGAATCGAGCAGAGCTTAACTTTGTTCCGTAAGGCTGTGATATGGTGTTCGTTCTACCGGCTTTGGAAAAGTAGCCGCCCAAAGCAAGTTTTTTCCCCTCTTTTCTCTTCTCTTTCTATTTCTAAGGAAGGAATGGAACGGAGTGAGGCAGGGAATCCTCTCACATCACCCTTCCATCCATGCATTGCGCGCGCACAAGCTCTATCGGCCGTGCTGTGCTGTGCTGCCTCTCCGCGAGCACTCGAGTACATCTGCGGTATCCTATCATATCATGCCGGTATCAGAAACTTGGCTTGACATCTAAAACCTCTCGACGTCCGAACCGAATTGAGTGGGCAGCTTATCCACCCACCAATAGTACGTATTCGTACTAGCACTGCGGTCGATGCATCTGATTCCTGCCGGTCCGGGGCCCTGTTTTTTGGGGGGTGGATAAATTGCTTTTTTCTATCCATGATATAATGCGGTACTGGTAGTACAGTACGAGTACGGTATCATACGGTACTCGAGTAGAGGATTGTGGGAGGGTTAGGTTGCTTAAAGTCCGATATATGTTCGGGTTATTTATTTGCGATCCGCATGTGCTATCATATCATAGTTCTGGTGCCTCAGGGACCAGGCTAGCAGGAATGGGGTTGCGTGCTGGCTGTTGGCCGGGTCAAGTTACATTCCGTTTGGCAGAGTACAGTAAGGTGAGTTAAGTGGGTATGATAGCCGTGCTACAAGTATAGGCATGCCAGTTAAGTTGGGTCGAGTGAACTGGTCTGCGTGTTGCCCTGGGCCCTGGGCCTATCTGGGGAAGAAGAGAAGGGGGGGAGGAGGAGGAGGAGGAAAAGAAAAAGAAAAAGTGGGGAAAAAGAAAGAAAGAAAAAAAAAGAAGAAGCGTGCCGCCCAAGGTGTCAGGAAGGGACAGCACCGGTACGGTGGGCAGAAGAAGTGAGAATGGAAGCACGGAAGCAGCAGGAGGGAGGGAAGGAGAAGCTTCCTTTTTTCTCACTTCCTTCTCCTGCTGTAACAGCAATTGTAAGGTACGGATCCGTAATTTTCTGCCGTAACCACATACTAAGCTTCTCTTGTCCATTTAGAGGGGTTCCCCTTCCCCCTGTTAGAGCCTCTTGTGCTCACTACTTCGTCTTTGGCCCAATTCGTTTGTCTCCCCCTTCTCGTGAGGCGCTCACTCGATTGTTAGTTCGTCTGTCCCGCTCGGATCGAATTATTCCCCATTCCCCCCCTCTCGCTGTCTCATTGTTTCTGCTCTTTTCCTGCCTCCAACCGGTACCATACTTCCTCACTGCTGATCCCTTTCCGCCCAATCCCCCTTCCCCCCCCCCCATCCTCCTATCCATCCAACAGTGGAAGGAGAACTGTCCATCTCTCTTTCCATTCCATTTCTCCTCTGCTTCTCCCCTCCCACATTTTGTTTGGCTTGCACTAGCTTCTCTTTTCCTTCCCTCTGCTCCCCCGCCACCAACCCACCCACCCACTCATCTGCCTACCTCACTCTGTCCCAGGCCCCCTTCCTGGATTGTCCAACAGCAAGCAATCAACCGCTGCCATTCACCCCGTGCATCCTGTGAGAGAGAGAATAATTCGTCGGTGGAAGTCAAAGGCCGAACCGTTGTCTCGTGCCTTTCTTTGTTTGCCGAAAGTCGATCTTGTCCTGCAGGTACTATATCATACTATACTCGTGCAAACCTTGTCGGGTGGTTTTGGCATCACCCTGCCCACAACCCTCCCCAATAAAGCCGACACTGATAGGGGAACAGGTACCACTCGGAGCCCCCGCTGGGCGACCCATCCGGCTCCATCTCCACCAATTTCATCCGCTCATTCAGCAGCAAGCAGCAGCAGGAACAGGATCAGTTAACTTGTGGTTGATAAATCTTTATTCTCTCTCCCTTTTCTTTCATTCGTGATTGGTTATTATCCATTTTTCCTGTTTCATCCAACAGAGGCAGAATATTCCCGCGCTCGCGTTTTCAATTTCCCTTCTGCCCGCGCCCGTTCGCTGCCGGTGCGATCGGTCAATCAGGGTCCCATTGTTGTCTTTTCAGGTCGCATTTCCTCCTTTTCCCCCGCGGTCTTTCTTCGCGACAACCAACCATTTTTCACCCATAACTAGGAGAAAGGCAAAATCGTCCCTCCCCCATCTTGTTCGTTAAGCTGCAGCGCAGGCTATTCTCCACATGTCCGTCACGACAATGCTCGCCCCTTCGGCGAGAAACTCGACCTCGTCAACATCGTCTAGCTTCGTGCCTGTCACTCGACAGAATACTGTTGGGTCGGATGGCGCACCCAGGTCGGTAAGAGCCTCGAAGAGGTACTCCGTCACGGCGTTGTACCTCTCGATGTCGGCGCAGGATAAGGATATGGAGATTGAGGATGAGCTCGCGAGAGGTTGGCTTTCCCCTTGCCCTATTCTGTCGCCCCCCTTCTTCGGCTGTGGACTGACCTTTTTTTTTTTGAACCTTTCTTCCTCCAGTGCAAAAAACACTTCGCGACTTGAAGTCGAGGATTTCTTCGCAATCAAAGAAGAATTTCGTGCTGGAGAAGGATGTGCGGTATCTGGATTCACGGATAGCTTTGTTAATTCAGAATAGGATGGCTTTGGAGGAGGTTCGTTTAGCTGCTATCCCCTTTTATCTTCACCGTGAAATATGTTGACCGTGCAAATGTAGCAAAATGAAGTTGCAAGCCATTTCGATGAGTCGTCCGAGCTGCAGGAGGGCACTTTCCCTGATGATCGGAAAACTCAACAATATGGAAACTTGTTCTTCCTACTTCAGTCTGAGCCTCGCCATATCGCGGCTCTTTGCCGCCTTGTTAGCATGGCTGAAATCGACTCCCTTCTTCAGACCGTTATGTTTACTATTTATGGGAATCAGTATGAGAGCAGAGAAGAACATTTGCTACTCACCATGTTCCAGGTTGGTTTATATTATGCTCCTGCGGGGAATTATTTGGGCTAGTGTTATGCTAATATTTAATTTACAGTCTGTGCTGTCGGCCCAATTCGATACCACTCCGGAATATTCATCCCTCCTCCGTGCGAACACACCTGTCTCTCGAATGATGACAACATACACCCGCCGTGGACCCGGACAGAGCTATTTAAAGGTGGTGTTGGCGAAGCAGATAAATAATCTAATCGAATTGAAGGACCTCAATCTCGAAATCAACCCCTTAAAGGTCTACGAGCGGATGGTTAAGAATGTAGAGGAGGATACCGGCACTCTCCCAGCCAACATGCCGAGAAGTGTTTCTGCGGAGGAAGCTGCTGAGAACCCCCAAGTCCAGGCAATTATCGAACCTCGCTTGACCATGTTGATGGAGCTCGCGAATACCTTTTTGTCGACTATTATTGACAACATCAACGAGACGCCATACGGGATTCGGTGGATTTGCAAGCAGATTCGAAGTCTGACCAAGAGGAAATATCCCGACGCGAAGGACAATGTTATTTGCACACTCATCGGGGGTTTCTTCTTTCTAAGGTTCCTCAACCCAGCAATCGTTACCCCGCGTTCATACATGCTTATCGACAATATTCCCTCCGAGCACCCGAGGCGTACTCTTACCCTCATTGCGAAGATGTTGCAGAACTTGGCCAATAAGCCATCCTACTCCAAGGAGCCATACATGGCTAAGCTATCACCTTTCGTAACGAACAATAAGAACAGAATTAGCAAATTTTTGAACGAACTATGCGAGGTTGGTGACTTTTACGAGTCTTTGGAGATGGACAATTATGTTGCTCTGTCGAAGAAGGACCTGGAGCTCAACATCACGCTGAATGAGGTCTATGCCACTCACAATTTGTTGGAAAAGCATGCAAAGGAGCTGGTAAGCGTACATTTCACAGGGGGTTGGTGGTATATACATAATAAGAGCTAATTCCTTCAGCTCCAGGGGAGGGATACGGAACATCTTACAATTCTCCTTCAGGAGCTAGGGCCTGCCCCTCCGCAGGTCCCCAGAAAGGAGAATAGGGCCATTATCCTGCCTTTGTTCAGTCGTTGGGAGAGTGCTCTTGATGGTATGTCTCGATGGTTTCAGGGTTTCTACCGGCAGTTATGCTGACTTGGAGTTTTTTTTTCCCCCTTGAATTAGATCTATCAGCAGCTTTAGATATCACTCAGGAAGATGTTTATTTCATGGAGGCCAAGTCAATCTTCGTCCAATTGTTACGAACCCTTCCTCCAATATCTGCGGCCGTGCGTAGGCCACTCAATCTTCAGAAGATCGCGGACGTTGCGGCCACAACTAAGGATATTGGAACATTCCGCAAGGGAATGAGAGGCATAGAATTGCTGAACCAATTGAAGGAGTTGGGTGTTATCAGTGAGGCGGATGGGTACCAGATTCTCCGGGAGGAAGTGGAGCAGGAACTAGTCCATCTCGGGTCCCTGAAGGAGAAGGTTACCGAGGAATCGCTGAAGCTCGATGAGGTCTACAAGACCATCCGTGATCACAACGCCTACTTGGTCTCTCAATTGGAGACCTACAAGTCATATCTGCACAACGTCCGCAGCCAGTCCGAAGGGAAACAGCGTGGGAAGCAGCAGAAGCAGCATGTTCTTGGCCCATATAAGTTTACGCATCAGCAACTTGAGAAGGAAGGTGTTATTCAGAAGAGCAATGTTCCAGATAACAGGTGAGCCCTGGAGACTCCCCCCCCCCCCAATAGAGTAGAACGTTTGACTAAGTTCATGTGTTTCCTATAGACGTGCGAATATCTTCTTCACTATCACTTCTCCTACCCCGGGAACCTTTGTTATCTCGTTACATTACAAAGGTTTGCGCCCCGATTCTCACCGTTGACAACCCCTCCCTGGAAAACATGTGAGCTTACCATGCACTCTCTATTAGGGCGAAATCGGGGACTCCTGGAGCTCGACCTCAAATTGGATGATCTGCTCGAGATGCAGCAGAACAATCACGACGAATTGGACCTGGAATACGTACAATTTAATGTCCCGAAGGTGCTGGCCTTACTTAATAAACGATTCGCTAGGAAGAAGTGGTAATGTGTATCTTGCGGTAGACGCCATATAGGATTGGTACGATATTATGGGCAGAGATGGCTTGATTTCCTTGTTCCGCTTTTTCTTATTTTTTTCTTTCCATTTTTCTTTCGCCTTAGTTACCTGGGGAGTACTTCGGTTGGGGGTGGTTAGGGATCTTCAATGGATTTTCGGGGTGCGGTATACGGAGAAACTGCCAATTAATGGGGCGGGTGGGGTTTTTGGAAATTGCGTTTTCTGCTGTATTTTTTTTATTTCTATCCCGGCATCTCGTTGTTTCCCTTTTTCTCATCTATGCTGCTTCTAACTGTATTTTTTTCGCTTCTCATCCTATACCCCTTTACTTCAAGAATTGTTTGCACTAATCTGCGTCCTTCAAACATTCGCTCACGGCATCGAGCTCTCTATGCTCACTTTGTCCAACGATGGCAGGGCCGAAATTGGAGGGTTTAACTCGGGGGTTCTTTCCTTTCATCCGATCTTCCCTTTAATCTCGAACGATTCCATCCTGAGAAGCTTGTGTTTTCCCTTCCCCCCTCCATTCCCTCAACCCCCTGAGCCCGGCTCTTTATTCCCTCGCTCATACATGATACGATAATCTTCGCGTTTCCGTTTGTCTGATTACTGGGGTCAGGAGGCTTTTGATATTCTCTTTTTCGATTCTCTCAATCCCATTGGCGCAAAGAGGGTTTTCAAACACAATGGAAGGGTGATACAGTTGTGCACTTTTCCTTCTTTTCCTTCTTTTTTTTTTTTTTTCCTTGTTCCCGGTCACAGCTCTAAGATAGTATTTCTCTATTCTGTGTCTGTGTTCAATACCGGTACCGCGGTCTCAATGTTTAGCTTTTAGGTCAGTGTTTTGTTTTGCTTTGCTGTGCTGTGCTTCCGGTTGCATGTCTGGTGGGTTGGGTATGGTAAGGTATGGTATGGTGTTTACGGGGGATGGGTTTGATGGGATGGGATGCGAGTTGGCGGGGGTGAGGAGGATGGATGGGCGAATCAGGAGAATTTGTGAGGATCTGTTCGCGGGTAATTATATAGCTAAAGATCATATCCCTTGGACCGGACACCCCACCCTTGCCTGATACCGTACTAGTCGGGTCACAGTACATTCGAGCACCCAATTTACCTGTGAGAAGTGTAGTCTGCACTGGGCGCAAATACCAGTACTGTAACGCCCGACGCATGATCACATAGGATCACTCGAGAACAACTGTCTCTTATCAGTCTGTCGCGATTACCGGTATCGCAGCGGCGCCATACTCGTAGACTACCGTCTGCCGTATCCTCCAATCACCCCCAACTCTGCGCGAAATCATGCTTGCGAACCCCCCTCCCCCGCGGAAAACGTGACATGACGTGACGCGACAAAATAGGGCTTAGCCTATCCGCCGCGAACGAACGAGCCAGCAATCAAGCAAGCAGGATGTTATCGTACTGGACCCGTGAAATACCGGTACGAGTACAGCCTTGTAACATTCTCACACCCGTAGCCCACAACGGATGCGCTGTTCTCTGCCGTACGATACACTCACTTCATCAACCAGACGCACAGGATATCTCTTCTCGTGATGTATATATATATATATATAATACATATTTTATCCTTCCAACCCTTATGGTCGCATTTATGCCTCACCACCTCCACCTCCATCCACCAGTATTAGATGAAAAGGGTAGAAATGAAAATAAGGAAGGAGAAAAAACCCGCATAAGGCTGTGAATGAGTGAGGTTCGTTACTCTCGCAACGGATGGGGTGCGGGCGGGCGAGGCGCGGGGAACCGTTATTATTGTAGTCTATAGGGTATGGTATGTATGTTGTTGTTGTTGTGTTGTGTTGTCAGTGTGAAGGGATGGATAAGGTACGACAAGTGATTTGCGGTGATGAGGGGCCAATTATGTTTGCTTAGGTGGATGTGCTCGTGCTCGTGCTCGTGCTTGTGCTTTTTGGGGTTTGTTTGCTTTGCTTTGACTGGGTGCGGCGGTGGTCCACCGCTGGGGAGCACGAATGCTTGGAGGGGGGGGGGGATGTACTGTACGGTACTGTACAAGTATGTAATTCATGTAAATTTATGGATGGGGTTGTGAGATGGTGGGCTGAAGTGGTGGCGGAGCTTGTTTTTGTTGACAGTTGTTGATCTTGGGATTTCCGTCGGTGCGGTACAGTACTCGTACTGTACTCATATGGTAGCTTATGATACTCGTACAAACCGTGGTGAAGACGAAAAATAAGAATACGGCAAGAATAAGGAGTCATCATGCCCATGATAGTCTACCCTTCTCTCCTTGTTGAGTCAGGGCGGGCGGGCTGGTGGGGAGGAAGGGACATGGGTGGCGGATCGTTGGCTGATCCGGCCTTGAATGCGAGTGGCTTACTGTAAGCTATGATAAAGTATCATGGGCTGCCATGATGTACTGTACAGTAGTTCGCTGTAACTTATAGCCCCCATCCACCAGGAACTCTGACCCAGACCCGACTTGACTTGCTTGACAGACTCAGACAAAACGTTGCTTTAGCCCACCAGACGGACCTCTTCTTCACATTTTCACACTTCCTCTTCCTCTTCCTCTTCCTCTTCCTCTCCCTCTTCCTCTCCCCTCCCCTCCCCCTCCCTCTTCCTCTCTCCCTCTCCTAATAAACTCTCCCACTTACCCACCCCGAAGCTTCATTTAAATCCTTATCCCCCCCCTCTCCTCCCTACCTTGGCTTACCCGCATAGCGTACAAATACAGCATTCCCCACCATCTCTTTCCGGGAACAGCTCCTTTCTCTCCTTTACTCGCTTCTCTCTCTCCCCCTCCCCCGGATCTCTCTCGCCATTTCACACTGCAAAGCGCGAAGGGGCTTAAAGGGCCGTTCATCATCACTAGATTTCCTTTGATCCACTCTTTTGAACCTCCTCGTCATGTCTTCTGCGGCCATCCTCATCCCTAACAGGCCTGGTGGATCTTCGTCCTCGTCCTCATCCTCTGCTTCGTCTGAGGCTCCGTCGCCATCTGCTTCTCCCGCTACACCTCCGGCCGGGGCATCTGGCTCTCCACCCCCATCGAGATTTCCCACCTCTTCCTCCATATACCACAGACGACGGCCATCGCTACTGAGTCAGTTTTCACTCACCACCCAGCTATCCTCTTTACTGACTTGAAGCTCGATAGGCTCCTCGGTTAGCCGGGTCGAGCATTCAGTCTTTGATCTGGGGATCCGGGATGGTTCACCAAGACTGGTAAGAACTTGACCCCCCGCCCTTTATCCGATGCCTCCCCGGCTTTTGCCCTGTATGTGTGTGCGTGTGTGAGTGTTGGCGAGCTAACAGTGGGGTGGGGCTGTCTTCAGATAACCTGTGTTAAAGCTTCCCAGGGCTTCGACTGGAATCAAGGTTAGGCTTCACATTCTTGCTTCCCCCCCTGTCGTGCCACCCGTTGCAAGAGGGCAGCCTGGCTAACCGTAGGTCGCATCGTGTGGGATGAATAGACATCTTTCTGCCTTCCTCGTCGGAAATCACAATTCATAATGGAATTCAAAAGCCCGAGACGGTTCACGAGATTATCCTCTCGGAGGATGAGAGCTTCCTTCCCTCGTAATTGCGATTAGAGTTGCATGGTGCGGGCGTTTTTATCAATCATCATCCATCATCCATCATCATTTTTGGCATGACAAATATTGGTCAAAAGAGACGATTCGGCGATCACTTCTGCTACTACTACTACTACTACTACTACTACTACTACTACTACCACCACTACCACTACCACTACTACCACTACTTCTACAACTTTTTTCCGGGATGGGGGCGTTTTGCGCGAGACCTTTCTTTTCCTTCCTTTTCCCCGTTTTAAAATTTCTCCGCACCTCTCTTTTGTCTTGTTTTTGTTTAGCTGATCCCAATACCTGGCTCTTCCGGTTTTTGCGCACGCACGACGAGGGAGGATCTCGGCCTTGGCTTCCTTCTTCCCTTTTTTAAACGAAAAATACATTTTCAGTAATGGAGTTTTGATTTATTTTCGTTTATTCTTCCGCCTTTCCGTTTGGGTTGGGGGCTTATTGAATGGGGTGGGTGAGTAGTGTACGGTCACGCTTGCCCGGGGAACGAGCGGATGAACGGATGTGGATCCTGGAGGCTGTTGGGTGGACTGGCTTGCGTCTATGTGGGGAAGTGCGGTAAAAACAGCTCGGTGTCTGGTCTGGTCCGGTCCGGTCTCGTACGCTATGGTATGATATGATCTGGGTATGGATACATGGGTGAAGAGGTGTTTTTTGTATTGTTTTTGTATTGTTTTTTTATTATTCTGTTTTCACCTGATTCAAGTATTGCGCCTCTATTTTAGTTGCGTTTTCTTTCGAATATTTTGTTTCCCTTTTCTGATGTTACTCCCTCCTTGTTGATGGAACCCTATTCTTACCCTTTTCCTTCCCCTTCCCGTGCGGTTCCTTTCTCCTCCTCTTCCTTCTTAAGACCTATGTATGCACTGGTGGTTATCGTTTTTCCAGATTCACCCGAGTGTCTTTCTCCTCTTCGTCCTCTATTGTGTACGAAAAGTGTTGCGTAATGTGATATCTAGCAATCGGAAATTGTTTATTAGCCCTTTTTTTTTATAAAGTTTTTTTCTCTTTCCTTCTTTCGAAAGCCCACGTAGAGTATTTGTCCTGTCCTGTTCCCCCCTCGTCAAGAGAATATTGCTCTGTACTGCAGCCTGGGTTAGGTTAGGTTATGTGCCGGGTATAGGCATTGCCAGTCTATCGCGTGCGCAGCGTCTCCTTCCATCCGTTCATCCATGCTATCAATCGCAGTGCATGATGGCTGCTGCCTTGGAGCGTAACTCGACTCAACTGCCGTAATTCGTCATGGCTCTACTGTGGAATGAATTATCTTCCGTCCCCACCCACCCTCTCCTTTTTCTTTTTTCTTTTTTCTCTTTTTTTTTTTCTCCTTTCCACTTTTTCCCCATTGGAGAATACCGATGCCCGAAAGGAAAGGAAAGAAGGGGAAGGAAATCGGTGAATGTGTGATATGATGCTTGTAGTCTCGGGATGTGTGGAGCGGTAGGTACCGTTATGGTGCGCGTCCGTTGGGATAATGTCTATCTAGTGTCATGGGATGTCACTCGTTGATAGATCCTCCAGTATATCGTGGGAAAAAATGGGTTCTATGATGGATTTGGGATTCGTGGTTGGAGGGGTTGGGGTGATGGGCGGGATCGCGATTGGGGCTGTGGGACTTGGACGGGTGGACGGGCGTTAATGGCGGGGGAAGGGAGGGAGGTATAGTGCTAGTTGGATTTACTGACTCTGACTGGGTTTTTTATCGTACAAACTGCGAGTGGTGGGCTGTTTACCACGATGAAACAAGAAAGACAACGAGAAAGAGGGGGAGAAAAATAAAAAAAGCATCCAGGTTAAAACTGAAATTTGAATCTTTCGCCGAACGGATTTCCGTGGCCACCATCGCTACCGGCTCTAAACACAAATTGCTGCCCGCCAAATCCTTGCCCGCCGCCGAAGGGATGTCCGTCATGTCCCCAGGTCCGTCCGGACCCGTCCTGCTCGTTCGGGTCATCCCCAGCGTCAAACCTGGCCCTCAATTCCTCATGGGAAAGCACCTCGTAAGCCTCATTTATCGCCGCCATCTTCTTAAGTATCTCTTCCTGGGAGAGTTCGCCGCGGTACTTGTCCGGGTGGTACTTCTTCGTGAGGGCGCGATAGGCGCGCTTGATCTCGCGGTCCGAGGCGTCACGTGGGACGGAGAGGACCTTGTAGTAGTCTTTCGCCTTGGAGCGCCGGAGGAGGGTGTGCGCTTCTTGGAGTTTTTGGAGGAGAGGCTGCGAGTCGGGGTGGGTTTGCTTGGCATGTTCGAGGGTGCGGATGGCTTCTTCAAAGAGGTCCTCTGAGAGTTGGGTTGTGGCTCTGGAGAGGAGGGCTGGGAGGGAGTTGGGGTTGAGAACTAGGGCGGCGGTGCAGTGGGGAGTGGCCTTTTTGTTGTTTTTGGTCTAGCGGAGGGAGGTTAGTTTGGGTGAGGAAAATGAGGGGCAGGGGGAGGGGGAGGAAGGAAAGGGGGGGGGTTACCTCTATGTATGCTTCGCAGGCGGTTTCCAAAAGCCATAGCAACAGATCCTCCGGACAGGCGGAGGTATAGTAACCCGCTTTCTTGATGTCTGCTACTTCCTCTTTGACTTCGTCAATGAGACCGGTTTCGCCGGCGTGACCGACAAGGAGTCTTGTCGCGCTGGTGTATTGGCGCTTCTCAACTAGTGTCCGGACCTTTGCGACTGACTTTTCCACATTCTTTATTCGACGGAAGAGCTTGCTGCACGGTTTGGAGTCTGGATCCGAATGTAGACATTTGCGGAGTTGGGCTACGGAACGGTCGTAGTCGTTTACGGAGAAGTAGAGGAGATTGGCAATTTGTAGGTGGGGATCTGTGTCGCCTGGGAGTATTTGCACGAGGTGGCTGTAGAGGTTGTTAGCATTCGTTACGGTTGAGGGAGAGGGTTGGGGAGAACATACGCCAGATCACCAACTGCTTCATGCACCTCCCCACGCTTCAACCGGCACCCTGCTCGCAGCGACCGGAGCGAGTGCAGGCCGCTGGCAACCACGATCGCCGCCCCAGCATGCATAACACATGCCTCATAATCACCTTTCTCCTCCGCTTCCATGGCCGCCTTAGCTGCCCGCTCCGCCTCCTCCAATTCGGCGATCCTCTCCTCCCCCGTCGCCCCGCCAACCTTCTTGTAATCACTCCTCGCAGCGCTCCAGTCCCCCGTTCTGCTCTTCAACTTTGCCCGCTGCAGCAGCGCAGCTTCAAAGTCCGGCTTCAAGCTGAGCACCGCATCGAAATCCGCAGACGCTTGGTTACTGCGCCCGAGAGATAGGTATGTTGCTCCGCGCTTGAACCTTGTGAGGTAGTTTGTTGGGTCCTTTTTTATCGCGGCTCCGAAGCGGTCCAGAGCACCATGCATGTCACCTTTCGCTAAGAGGGCATTGGCACTCTCGATTAGCGACTGAACAGGTTGATCATGAGAAGGATCGGAGGCGACGAAGTGGCTCGAGAATAGAGCTGCTGCAAGAGTTAGCGTTCCGAGTCGGACAATCATGGCACCGCCGGGTTTTGGTGTCGTTCGGTTGGTGGCTAGGGGATTTTTTCCTCGGAATTTTGCTTCGTTCAAAAGAAAAGAGACCTCCCAAGGCCTGGGAGAGCTATTGCAAAGAGTGACTGTGGGGTGAGTTTCGTGGAGAGGGGGAGGTTTGGGGTAGCGATGAGGAGAATGTACGGGGAGGGTCGATGTGCGGAAGGAAGTTAATTAGGGAGCTGGGGCTGTTGAGTTTGTTCCAGGTGGCCTTTACCCATTATTCTTGTGCTCCGCCACCCATCCAACCCTCGCCAGCTGATAAATATAGAAACTGCCAGGGGTTTTTCTGATTAGATCTCATCTCATCTCATCTCATCTCATCTGATAAGATATCTTCCTTTCTCTCGTTCCCTTTGGGTACCGGTAACACCAGTCAAAACCGAAAGAGGATACCGTATTGGGCTCAAGCGGACCTGAATCCATCCCCAACTCTGCATTACCATAATGGCGGATTACCGAGATATCTGGTCACCGGCGAAAGTCTTCTCGCCCTCGGCAGCGAAGCACCAGAATCACCTCGCGAAAGAATGGGCATACGTCGATCAATGGCTCACGGCACGCTACCACCCAAAATCGGTACCAAAGTTTGAGCGGAATCCTGACACTCTGAAGGCACTCGTTGCTCTGGCCTCCGCAAACGAGGCCGCCGATGAAGAGCGGGCCTTGGAGACGAAGGTTAAGGAAAAGGCGCTCGCCGAGTTGAAGGCTAGGGATAGGGCCGCCTCTGAGAATGAGGAGTCGGTGCTGATTGCTTTAGAGGAGAACTTGACGCCCGAGGGGACTCGAGCGTTGAATTCAATCGCTCTGTTGTCGGTTGCCTTGGGATCGACTTCCACGGATACTCAAAGGTATGGAATTCTCGGTCTACGTGCAGACATGGGAATGGGAGAATGGGGAGGGCTAATATGGGGATAGATTAGCAAAAAGCTTGATCGACTTGACGAAGGAGGAATTCGAACTAAAGTATCAATCGCTTCGGATTGAAGCTCTGCATAAACGTCTGCGGAAAGAGCTTGCGCACCTGCGTGAGAAACTGAATCGTATGGAGCGCGGCGAGGAGTTCAAGGTTCCGCCCGAACTAGCCGGACAGGTTGCAGAGTGGACAAGGACGGGCAGGCATTTGAGACATAAGGCAGAAGATTATAAGGAGAGGGTTGAGGTGCTGCAGGTGAGTTGGCTTGCTACAGATTGTTGGGCAGCTGCTGATATGTACGTGCGAGCCCAGAGCGAGTTCAATTCTTCGCGTTTGGCAACTGGATTGACCGTCGAGGCCGTGGCGGAGCAGGAGAAGGCAGTGGAAGCATTGAAGGAGCATGTGCTCAATCTGGAGTCGCAGGCCAAGGGCTTCCAGGGGCTACCTCCAGAGAAGGATCTTGCTAGGCTGGAGGTGGAGAGAGTTGCCAAGGAGCTCGAGGAGTTGGAGGCGAAGAGAGAGAAGCTTTATGATACCATGGTTGGGAATTGATAGGGCAACACTGGTTTCGACGTGTGTCACGATATCATTGAGGGCCTGATTAGATAGTTGCAGTGATATAGGAATCTACATAGATTGCTGGACATTGGCTTTGTTGCGAAAGATTGTCTGTAAATTTGGTAGGCCTGATGGGGTGCTCACGGAGAGCTCTCCGTTGGAACCATAGCTCCCCACCCCCGCCAGCGGACCTTGACTCCAAGCCACATCTGCAAAAGCCGCCCTCATCTTGGCACTTGGCACTCGGTAAGGGTTAGGGCGAAAAGGGATGATTAGGCCGAGGGCAAACTCATCGCGATCGCCAAAAGCCTCCTCCACACACTGGGAAGCGCTTTTCCAACATTTTCAACATTCTTCATTTTTTCCCCGCGAGTGTAGGCGCGGGCACACGGAAGAGCAGTACTCTACTCACGATCCCTCCTGTACGAATCCCGTCGCTGTTCAACTTTAATCCCGATTAATCGCGTATCATCCCTACGGACTAATAGGCCCGTCCCTCAACTTGACTGTCGGACCGTGGGACGCGCGCGTCTCTCCGCACTACGCTACCTCTGCCGGGGAGACGAACCATCCCGGTAGGGCACTGTACCATAACCAATACCGCAATACTATCCACCGACAGCCCCCAACACCGCGGACCCCAATTGGCCACCATGGTGACGGTTCGGAATCCGGCACCGAAGCTGAGCGATGAGCTTTACAGGGCGATGCAGACCATACTGGATTCACTATTCAGTCGGAAAGACCCCGAGTTGGAAATCCCCTCCCCCTTCCACGCACGGAAAAAACCTCCCACCCCTCCTCATTCCTGTTCCCTCCTCTCGTCTCGCCTCTAACCCATTGCTGACCGACAGTATGTGAACAGCGGCCGTGACATTTCCGAAGCTTTCCACGATCTCCTACCGAAACGGCAGTATGCCGACTACTACAAGTTGATAAAGCACCCTCAGGCGCTCAACCCAGTACAGAACAATGTTAAGAGGAAAACTTACGCCTCCTTCTCGTCCTTCGTTAGGGACTGCACACAGATCTTCCATAACGCAAAATTGTACAATCGCCACGGCAGTGTCATCTACGTCGATGCGGAGACCCTCGAGGCCGCCTTGCGTGCCGATTTGACGCGCGTCAAGGATACTGGGCTGATCACTGAATCTGATGTTACACTTCCTGACCTCGGTCCATTGCCTCCGCCATCTCCTAGCGGTTCCCAGGGATCGCCCGATCCGGAGGAAGATTCCGCCGCCGAGGAGGAGGAGGACGAGGAGGAAGAGGAGGAGGAGGAGGATGAGCCAGAGGAGGATACCGGGAAGAAGCGTCGGACGTCCACTCGGAGGAGAAACCTGACAAAATCTTCCAAGCGGGATGCTGGCAGTGGTGATGAGGGGCAAGGTGGTGGCGAGGGATCTAGACAGAAGGATCTTAGCGACCCTAGGAGGAAGAGGGGAAGACCCCCGAGAGTTGACACCCCAATGGAGATTAGGGTTAAGAATGTCTTGAAGGCGCTCAGGAAACTGAAAGATGAGAGGTTAGTGGTTGCCCCGCCCATTCGGCCGGTGTTGGTGCTCACAAGTTCATAGCGATGGCCGCCTGAGAATAAGCACTTTCGAGAAACTGCCGGAGAAGAAGGAGTTCCCCGAGTATTTTCAGGAAATCAAGGACCCTATTGCCCTCGATATCATCCGGGTGAGTTGGCGCATGGGATCCGGCCCGACCGCACCGCTAACAGGAGATTGTAGAAAAACGTCAAGCGACGCGAATACAAGACCTTTGACCACTTCATCGCTGACATGGAGCTGATGTTCGAGAACGCAAAGAGCTTTAACGAGGACGACAGCGATGTTTACGGGGATGCTGTCATCTTGCAGGAGGAAATGCGCAAGGCTGCCGAAGTTGAAAAGGCTAAAAAGGACGAAGATATCACTGGCGGTGAAGAGGGTGAGAGAGGGAATAAGCCTACCAGGCTGCCCTTGGAAAAGGTGGAGCATAGAGGTGAAACGTACCGAGTTGGTAGGTGCCCTAATCATAACCGAAGTGGCTCTACTAAGCTGCTAATGGCGCAGGCGATTGGATCCACATTATCAACCCCAATGATCCGAACAAACCAACTGTTGGACAAATCTTCCGTACCTGGAAAGACCATGAAGGGCAGATCTGGATCAACGCTTGCTGGTACTATCGGCCGGAACAAACCGTCCACTGGGCTGAGAAGAAGTTTTACGCGGACGAGGTTGTAAAGACCGGGCAATACCGGGATCATCATATCGACGAGGTCCTTTCCAAATGTTTCGTCATGTTCTTCACTCGATATTCCCGTGGGCGGCCGAAGGGTATCGACGAGAAGAAGTGTCCCATCTACGTTTGCGAAAGCAGGTACAACGAGATCGAGAAGCATTTCAACAAGATTAAAACCTGGAAGAGCTGTATCCCGGACGAGGTCAGAGGGCAGGATTACGAGCTGGACGCGTTCGAGAAGCAACAAGTGTTGAAGAAGCTGCCCAGTCCTATCCTCCACTTATTACCGGAAAACGCAGAAGAGGGCGACCCACTGCCCGACGCGAAAATGGGCGTTGAGAATGCGCCGCCTATTATTGGGGCTGTCTTCAAGCGAGCAAGGCGGGATAATGTAAGTTTGCTGCTCCCCGAGTTTTTGCAGCCTACATTGTTGTGGGAGCCTAGTGCAATTTAAGGTGTGACTTTGGAAGCAAACCTTACTGACACAACCTCCTTTTCTTTCCTTTCAGGACTCACCACCCCCAGAGCCAACACCTCCTCCACCGCCCATGCCTACGCCAACCCCGGCCGCTCCCCCTCCTAGGGTTCCGGTAAATCCAGATTACACGGAGACCATGTCGATGACACAGATGTACAAGCAAGCCCATCTCGCCGCATCCATCACTCCATCCACGCCGCAGGGAAACTCCCACTCTGCCGGTTCCCCAACACCCTCTGGACATCACCAATCCGTCCGAACCCCTATGACCCCACAATACTCCTACTCGCATCAGCAACACCAAGGGACCCCGACCACGCTTCATCGCAGTCACTCGGGCAGTTACCCACCAAGTGGAACGCCTCAAATGTCAGCGCAAATGCTCGCGCAGCAACAACAGCAGCAACTTCTGCTCCAACAGCAACAGCAACAGCAACACCAGCAGCAGCAGCAGCAGCAGCTCCAACAGCAACACCAGTTGCAGCAAAAGCAGTACAACCCCCCCGCGCCCCCAACCACTTTCACGCTCCCGGATAGCGTGACGGACAATATCCCGGCCGAAACGGCAAACCAATTCCTCCGTGACGCTGAGGGGAGATTGCTGTGGTTTACGGTACCCCCACTAGCTCCCGAGAGGCCCGCCGTCGAAGGTCAGATTACCGGCCATTCGCTCGTGTACCTGGCGCGCAAGGAGGAGATTGAGGAGCGCAGGAGGAAGCGCAGACTCGTGCTTGGGGAGGGGGAGAAGGCGAGGAAGAAGGTGAGGGAGGAGGAAAGGGGTAAGGTGATGAAAGCGGCGGAGGAGGCGATGATTAAGGCGCTCGGGAAGCTAGCGGGACAGATTATGTCTGGCAAGGATGGAAGTCGGGTGGACGGGAATGAAGAGGGATAGAGTGTTTAGCCGATTTTCCTTAATTCCCTGCTTGTCATGCCTTTTCACTTTTTTGCACTCTTGCAATCTTGGGTCAGGCAATTAAAGCGTTTTATCTTGTCCTTTTTTTTTTCTGACTTGTTTTTTTTCTTCTTTTTTTTCTTATCCCTCTCTTCTTCCTACAGGTGTGTTTGGTTTGTTGGTTGGGTATCGCTGGTTCGTGAATACATACATGTCATGCATAGTTTATAGTTCTTCTATTGCACTGGAGTGTCGGCTTGGGGGGTTTTTTTTTTTCCTTTTTTTCTTTCCTGTGGCGGCCCGACCAGAAGTATGATGGGAGGTACGAATAGATGCGGGCACGGCAATCCTATGGCACTCAAACAGAGCAAGAACAAGTGTGTGATTAGCATAATATAATACCATCGCGATATGCCGGCCTTGACGGCGAACGCGAATCCGATCCCGATCCAACCTTGTTCCTGAATGGATGTACTCTACTCTACGGCACTTGCACCACAAGGAGATGGCCAATCGGGCATTACACCGCTGTCACTCCCTCTCCCCTCCTCTAACCCACTAGGTTTACCAGTTATAGTACTGCTAGGGTAAATTTTTCGTCACGATACAAATATTCATCACAAAGTCCTGGGGCGTGCCGGATATCATTTGAGGCACCCACCCACCCCTTACCGTTCTAGCGGACGCCCATGCGTGCGGGGGGGGGGCTGGGCGTTGTATAATATTACTACCGTTGTATGGTTACCGGTACGGCACGGGAATGACGATACTTGTACAGTACTGTACCGCCGTTCTGGGCCGTGGGGGTTGGTCGATGTAAGGTACCGTACAATACTCGTACAGCACAGTACCGTAGTGTGTGGGTTGTGCGGTGCGGGGTCGTTGGTGGGGGCTTCCCCCCCATTTTCTCGTGATGTATCATAATTTGTAGTGTTCTGGCGTTGGTTACTACAGATGGAGGGGGGAGGGGAGGTTAGTTAATCTACCGTATTAATTGTGTACTGCACTCTGCGTACCGTATCATACCGGTGTTATACTCGAGTGAGTACGGTACCGTAGTGTACCGTACAAGTACAATACTTGCGGCTGGGAGGGGAGGGGAGGGGAGTGGTTGTGTTTTTGTCTTGTCTTGTCTTGTCTTGTTGTAGTCTGCTTGCATTGCATGATACTATACGAGTATCATATAATACGTAGTGATATGGTGGTACATACTAAACCCACATTTCGTATCTACAGCACTGTACCGTTATGACCATTCCCACAACCTGACATCTCACACACGTCTCCGGAGCACTGCAGTGATCTCCGATAACCTATAATACCATCATACTATAGCTGGTATGGTATGGTATGGTATTCACCACTGGTCATCATCAACCAACCATACCCACCCCACCCTACCCTACCCTACCATTTACAAACCGTGCGAACAAAAGGAAATCGTGAAAAGGAAAGGACCAATAATCCACGACTTACTGCACGATTTTGTCGCGGGCCCGAGATGACACTGACTGACTGACTGACTGACCAATCTAACTAACTAGTCTGCAGGAAGGAGCTTGGATTTCTCATCACTCTACGCTCATGAGACCGTATTACAATCTACCACTGTGGCTTAATATATATATATATATATATATATTGTCCGTCACGTCCAACATACCTACCACACCACGTAACTGGCCGATCGGCCGGTCGGCACTGTATTGTACTCGTACTTGTACTGTACACGACCAAACTTGTAAATATCAGTCTTGCAAAGCGACATCGTCCGTGGATTCAGCATTATAGAAAACGGTGTGTTTATATGCCGTATCATACATTCAAAACTTCCTGCGCGCTTATCTACTAGTAACAGGTAGGTAGCTTGGCCCCATCGGCACTCTTTGGAAAAGAAAAGAAAGGGAGCAGGAGTATTCTGATTGATGACACTTTACCATCATCATGATATATCACTCGCTATTGACATGTGCTGCGTAATTTTTTATGTATGATATCTAACTGTTTACTAACTAGCTATGATATGATATTATACCCTCGCCCCAACGATTCGCATCCCGCGTGGATGAAAAGAATATTTACATGAATGGTGAAAACTTCATTGCTCTATCAAAGTGCGAGAGAAAAGAAAAGAAAAGAAAAGAAAGGGGGAGAATTACATCCCCATAGGGTCATCGTAGTTGACTATCCTCACCGTGCCCTTCGGTGCTGTAAACATGATCTGCACGACCCGTCCGGCGCCTACCGCCGCTTCCAACATCCCATTCATCGTTCCCGCGGGCTAGCATGATCGGTACAGAGACCGGCCTACTCCTTCCTCCTTCCTCCTTCCTCCCCCCACTTCCCCCCCGCTCACGTCGTCCCTTCCCAAGGAAGCGATGTTCGAAACGCTCCTGAATGAGGTGCTAGCAAACAGCGACAGCGGGGATGAGGGCTTAATCGGCGGTAGGGCGTTGCGCACCGCTGTCACTTTCATACCCCTCGGTTTGGGCGGGGAGGGGGAGGGGGGGATGTTAGAGAAAGGTGTGAAGGATGGGTTGGAGGAGGAGAGGGTCGAGGGCGAGGGAGTGATAGTTGATATAGTGCTGCTACCCGCGGTCGTCGTGGCGTCTAGGGAGATGCTCCGCTGGGCGATTGCCGGCCTGGGCGGCGAGGGGAAGAAGAGTGCCCGCTTCGTTAGCGTCCGCACCCTTGACGCGTGGAAAGGTGGAGCGATCGCTCGGGCGCGGCCGGGCGGGTAACCGCGAGCGTATGGGATCCGGAGCGGGGCCTTTGGAAAGGATTTTTTTAGGCTTTCCGAGGAAAGCGTCGCCGCGACGAGTCTTGGTCTCCCACCCAGCACGGGTACCGGTGCTGCTGGTGGTGGGGGTTTCGGAAAGGCGGAAACGTCGGGCATCCACTCATCCGAGGTCGGTGTTCCGCTACGGGAGCTCTCCCGCGTGCGCTCGTAGATGGTATCCTGCTGGGCCATTTTCTCGGCGAACGCCAGGGAGCGGTTGTACATCTCTGCGAGGTCCGTCGAGCCATTCGTTACTCCCGCGCTGCTGTGCCTGTGAATGCTCTCCTCATCGCTTTCGAGGATGGTGGATACGCGCGCTGGCGCGGCGGCCCCGCGGCAGACTTGCATCTGGCGGGAGAGCTGCGGTGGGGAGGAGGAGGTTGACGTTGAGGATTGGGAGGAACTGGCACCATTTGGGGTCATGGAGCTTGAGAGGGAGCAGGAGGGTTGGTGGCTCAGACCGAGCATGCGGGCGGCGTATGATTTCTCCACGATGCCTATGCTGTCCGCCGAGGCGTTCGAGCCTTCTTTCGAGTAGAAGCCGAAGGTTCGCCTCCCCTCGGTTTCCCGGGTGTTCCTCCTCACGGGATCCTCCTCGTCCGAGTTCTTGTTCCTGCGGCGGCACCAGAAAAATAGTGCCACTCCCGCGATTACCGAGAGAAGGCCGAGCAAGGCTCCGAGGACAATGGTCGTTTTACTGTCTTTGCGTTCCTTTCCCCCCTTCTCTCCTCCTACTACTAGGGCGGCGACCTTTGGGGGGTTGTATGTGGACGTCCAGGTATTCGAGGTGACGTTGAACAGATAAGTGCCCTCGCTGATCTGCGGTGCTTTCCCGGCTTCGAATGGAGAGATCTTGTACCCACTGGTAATCATCATGACATCCCCATCAAGCATCACCGCAGCGTGTCCCGCCAGCCCATCCTGATGACCGTCCCCGGGAGGCCCAAGTTCTCCTCCAAAGATATACGGAACCTCCCACTTCCACCCACCCCTACCGATTTCGCCGGACATATCCAGCACAATCAATCTAGGCTCTGCCGGGGTATTGACATCGCCAACCCACCCCCCATAGACAATCACTCGCTTCCCATCCCGGGTCGCAACGGCGGTATGCCCCGCGCGTGAATCGATCCGTCTGGTAAATCCTTCCTCCCGTGGTTCCACAATGATGGATGGATCCTCCTTCATAGCTCCCGGTGTGGGTTCCGGCACGTTACCCAGTTTTGTCAAACTAGTCGGTAGCTTGGGTGGCAAGGACTTGGGCAGGCTTACGTCGGCAAATCTCCAACGGCCCTCGGGAACGAGATATACGGCCACCTGGCGCACATCCACAAACGCCCTCCCGGTGTGTCCCCCAATCATGACAGCCGTCATACTGTCCCCCTTGGAAATGGTGGTGAACGAGAAGCCCGATTCGGGGATCGGCCAATCATAACTGTTATCCCCACTCCCACGCTCCACCAGGGCGACGGGGGTAATGGAATCGGGCCCGGATGTGGATTCCGGAAGCCCCTTTCGATTCCCCTCGATGTACGAGAACTCGCGGATGGCGGGGAACTCGAACTCCAGCATGGAATTAGTATACACCGGACCGGCCTCACCGCCCAGACACGGCCCGCCAGGACACGACCCGCCGAAAAGGTACGCCTTCCGATGAATATTGGTCGCGACGGCGTTCCCCTGCTCGTACTCGTGCGAGTCCTCGTCGCTCGGCGCAGCCCCATTTATGAATGTCGGCGCCGGAGCGACCGCGCTGGTGGCGGAAACTTGGTAGGAAAAGCCCGCAGCGTGGTTCCTCCCTCTTGGCGCAACCTCCATGCCCGATTTCACATCCCGGCTCCGCCAAACGCCCGAGCTATCCGAAAAGTTGTACTCGTAGAGCCCCAGATCGGAATCGCAAGACCCCGTCAATAATATCATGACATTGTTCTTCCCCGCCCCCTTGTCGCTGAAGAGCAAAGGTGTCATGGAGATCTGCCCGGATCCTGGGCTCTTTGGGGGTGGCGGAGGGGCCGGCAAGTCCCTGAATGCATTAGACATATTCCTGGTGGATACCCGGTCGCTCACGTTCAGCGAGACGAACTTGAACTCTGCGGTTTGCGGCGACGGCAAGAAGAGGTAGAGTGTCGAGGAGTCCGCCGATAGGAGCGCGCTGGCGGGTGTGTATTGTGATGATGCGAACTGTGACAGCAGGGATAATAACGATAATGATAATGATAATAACGATGGTAAGAAAAGGTATCTCATTTTGGCTACGCTATGTCCTTCCGCGCGAGGTAGGGTGGTGGTTTGAAGGAGCGCAAGTGCGACAAGTACTGGTGGGGGAAGTGAGGGAGCATCGCGGGATTAAGTTAGCTCGTAGCCTTGCGCTAGGGAGGTAAAGCCGTGGCGGGGTAGTGGGGTCGTGGGTGGCTGATATAAGGGGGAAAGTGGGATGGCTGAGGGCGTATCGGTATATAATATTATAACGCGATACGCCTTTATTTTATCCACGCTGGGTGTGGAATGGAGGGGGGGGGGGGGTGGGCACATTCCAGGAGGGAGGAAGGGGAGGTACTCCGGGAAGATGGCGCACCTACATGTTGTGTATAGAGTGGTATGTGAGCATTTACCTTTTCCCGGATTCCCGTCATCCTTAGAGACATGTCGGCCATCCCTTTCTTTCCCTGCATTCTCCTCTCGTCTCATCACTTCATCCTCGGATCTTGCCGAGTGATTCTTTATGATCCCCAACATTTCACTAGAATCATTGCCCGTCATCAAACATCCATCAACCATAACCAAGTAGTGGGAACCTCCACCCTTGAGTCCCCCCCTATTCATCGCTTTCTCATGGTCAAGAGAAACTGTTGAAATCCACCTCCACGAGCTCACATGACCCCGCTCAAGCGAGCATTCCCCAACCTTCAACGGTGCGCGCTTCAGCAATCCTCCCAATCCAAAAGAATGATCATTCACTAACCTCCCCAGTGTCAGTCCACAACTACGTTCCCCCTAACCTGTCTCAGCCATCCCATTCGGTATTCTGAAAATCAATCAAGCCAACCAGAGAGGAGGTGGAAGTTCAGGCCGAGAACAGGCTATCGGCCACACCTTCAACGCCAAGACTCTACTAGTCCTACAGCGACATCCGTATCCTGAAACTATTAGTATCGTTGAAACCATCCTGCTTAGCAGTGTTGCAACACGGTAATCAGAAAAACTATACTTCACGATAAAGCCAATTAAATTAAATTCAGTCTAGAAAACTTTCCAATTTCTGACCCACACGGTGGAGGTATATACAGGAAAAATTGGGAAAGAGGAACAACAAATTTACAACCAATCTAATCAACTCCCAATATCCATATACCGTGGATGCCAAATGGGAAAATCCAACTTTTGCAAAAGCAACATTGATGAGACCCCAAAGCCAGGACTCGTCACTAATACCCCCGGAATTTCACACACGTACCGCGCCACAAAACCGCTATACCCCAAACAGAAAGGAAGCTAGCTGCAGCCCCTAGAAGTCAAATTTTTGGATACCCCAATACTAGAAGTCAAGTTAGCAAACAGTGTTTGTAAATAAGACAAGGGACAAACCTTTTCGGCATTGAAGGTAGCGGGGTTATCCTTCTTCCAGAGGTCATCCTGAGCAGTGAAGTAGATAACGTTGGGCCCCATGGCGCTCTTAATGGAGGAAAGGGCAGCAGCTTGATTTTCAACAGAAGGAACAGCAGCACCGTTAGAACCACCCTGATGGGGCCAGCCGGTCTCTGGTGTTTGTTAGCAATCAACCTTTCCCCGGAAAACAGGTTAAATCTAAACGCACCAGTTATCAGGACCTTCTTTCCACCACAGGCTTTACTGACATTCTCGGACTGAGTCTTCAAGAAGTCACCCGAGGCAGAAGCGTCAACCTTTCCATCAAAGAAGGGATGACAGTTGGCAGCAACATAGTCGGAAGCACCACAAAGAACCGGGTTGTTCATGATGGCAACGAAAGTGTCAGGAGCAACAACCGGCCCAGTGTATCCACCGGCTTTCAAAAGATCACGAGCGGTGCTGACTTTAGTTACGACATCGCCAGGACCCATCAGACCGGAATTGACAACTTCATTACCAATGGCGACGGTATGGACATGGTTCCAATCGGGTCCAACCATGGTGATAAGTTTGGAGATCTCACTCTCACAATTGGCAATGTCATGGATACCGAGAAAGAGCTTAAAGCCATACTTCTTTGCAGCACTCAGACCATTGGGAACCTGGTTGCAGTCGGTGCCGTAGAGACGGAGGAAGGAGAAGGACGCAAGTTTGGAAGTATCAGAGTCAAATGAGGCCCCGTCCTTGCAGGTGCCATCCGAATTGTAGGGAGAGTAGACGATTCCTCCATTGGACCCTGTGGCAGCGGTCCCAACCTCGGCAGGAGCTGCGAACCTTCTGGCATGGCGCCCTCCTACAAAAGTAATTAGTCCGAGCTTAAATGCGATTCACTCAAATCCGCAATAACATACCATGTGGCTGAGCAGAGCTAAGTTGCAATACGGCAAGCAACGCAAGGCCAATACCTGACAAACGTAAAGAGACCATATCGACGGGTTGTGTGCTGTTGTGTACAAGAATAAAAATAAAAAGTATTACTCGGTTCTCCTATAACGGGGACACTCTGGGGATGTAGTTCGTAGGTGTTCTGACCCTGAGTGGTAGCTAGCTGCGTTTGAGCTATCCTTCAAGACTGAGGCACGCAGGTGAGTATTCAGAGGCTGATGATGTTCAAGGAGGGGTTTTGTTTGCTATCAAAGCTAAGGAAAGTGTGCACGTCTATTCAAATGGAAGGCAAGGGAAAGGAATGACTGGTTGAAAAGGGATAGAATGAAAGTGAGCGAGTGGCAGACAAACAGGCTCCGCAGCGAGTTGTAGAATGGTGGGGATGGAATCCGGGGGAAGGGGAGGATGAGGGTAGATAAATAGAAAGACGGAGTGGGGGGGGGGGGGGGCATGAAGGATGGTTTGAGACCACAACCACCGCCGTCACTAGCCCTGGGTAGGTAGGAAGGACTGTATCATCTCGTACACAGTTGGACAGACATGGGGAAGACGAGGCCCAGGTCAGACCTGCACCAGTAACAATCGCACCCACCCACAATCCTCGTCGTTCACAATGGGGGCAAACCGTAACTCATTCATTCACTGTCACTCACAATCCCGCTCCTCCCCGGCAGTGTGTATAGCCCAGTCAGCGGATGAATGCATGCTTCCAACGACCAGAAAGGTGCAGGGCAGTACGGGCATCACACTTCGAACACTCACCGTTCCCGCCATCCACGAAGCGCCCCGACGCTCCAAAACCCCCAAGCTGGACCCTAACCCATTCCAGATGCGGGTAGAGAAACATCAGATACGGTAGGTTAGACCTAGCGCCAAATGCCACTTTCGACCAGGGCTTTGTGTGGTACTTGTATTAGAAGCAATAAACGGGAATAATGCATTGTCAGTCTCATCTCTCCTTCTTGTTCACGAGTACCGTACCGGTACTGTACCCGCACTATGTCTGCAATCAGGCACAGTAGCGCCATCGCATCGCCAGAGAACGAGGGAAGGCCGTCGTCTCAGGAGATGGACAGGTCGAGGCTCGGGAGCAGGACAAAAAAAGATAATTATGGTCGGTGTTGGAAGTGAGGGGGCGGCCACCCCTAAGGTTAGGAGCTGACTTCGCCCGTCAGCCACCGCGGAACAATAGTTATACTGTACTCGTAGACTATGATTCACATGATGGAGAGTTAATTTAAGCATCGTACTCCACTCGTTCAGCAGCCTACGGTACGGTACTCGAGTACCGTACTTGTCTACTTGGGCCACTCGCTCGCTTGTCCTCCATAACGTTACCGGTAGCCGAAACATATAAAAAGTTGTCCCTGCGAGAAGACTACAGTACTCGAGTACTGTACGGTACGATACGAGCACTGTATCTTTGATCTCAGCTGTGATGCCAGTGTTCGTCCGACCCCGCATCACCCCCCGTCACCCCTTCTTGACTATCCGCAACTGATGGGTTCTGCCAACATTGACTATGGTATCATATGTACCTGTAGGGGCAGAAGAATGAAGGGAAAAAAAGATAAATGCGCGCATTGACCGGGACCAGCGTGGGTGACCCCTTCTCTGCCATTAGATGGCACAGTACGGTACTTGTATGATACCTTAATGCGGGTCTCACGGATGCCATCACCTACAACTCCCGTACCCTGTTTTGGGGCCCAGTCCGGCAACCCTACTCGTCACTGATATCCAGGGTCTGTCCGTCTCCTCAACCAATGATTCCTCGCGAGACCCTTCTGTTCCTGCATATCATCGACAGGACGAAGTCAAAGGACTCTTTTGTTTTTTCTCTCTCCCTTTCGCTTCCTTTCGAGCCTTGGAAACTCTCTCCACCAACCCACTCGGTAACGAGGCAGCGAGCGAGTTACCGTAACCGTGTCAGCTTGCGCTCCCCGATCCTCGAATCGAGTTCCGAAACCCCGGCTTACAGGCAGGCTCGCCATTGGATCTGCCATCTCCCCTCCCTTCCCTCCTTCCTTCCATTCTTCCTCCCTTCCACCCTTTCCCCCTGTCGGGAAAAAAATGGAGGGAAAAACGAGGTTTGGCGCACATGCGGTAGCACAAAATCAGGTACGACTACCGGTATTCGTTCGTTTCGGTACCGCTACTCGTCCTCGAGTACCCGCTCTTCCTCCCTGCCACGCCAATCTCCCTCTTTTGTCCCCGGCATGGGAGGGAGGGGGAGTTTCTGGGTTGGGCCACGTAAGTGCTGCTCGAATTGTATTGTTTGTACCCGAGGACTCGTAAGCTGTGTGCTGTGGGGGCACTGGCATGTCCGCTGTGACCCCTCCTCTGGCTCCTCCTACCATTTGTAGCCCAGACCAGATACTGGTGCCGTACGGTACGAGCACCGCAGACCTCCGTTATGGCGGTGGGACCGCATATACTTGTATTTTGCATTGTACTTGTACTGTACTCGGGGCAGTACCGCAACATAACCTCCCAATCACCCCTATCATACAAGTGCAATGAAATCCCATCCAAAGCCCGATGCCGGCATGCTTCCCTTCTCTCCGTTCCTACATACTCGAGTACCGGTAGTCTACAGTACGAGTACATACAGCCATTACACCTTGGGGTTTGGACAGCAATTGACTGAATCCCATGCTACGGTAGTGCTGCACCGCACTGGTGCTCGTAGGATACAAAACACCCTCATCAAGCCCCGACAACGCTCCACCCTTCCGCCTAACTTATGATACTGGCAACCCGTCAAACAACTGGTCTTGGCAGAAACGCCATCCCCACCCTTCCTCCCCCCCCAATGAAGACTTCAACATCGGTGTCCGCCACAGCTTCCGTGCCGGCACAACTACGGGCACCCGTACCTGATCATCACGGTAGCCAGTGGGGGCCGGCGGTGCGAGCAAGCGAACAAGACGGACAGAATGAAAGGCAAGGGAAACCCCCGACGACTCCCCCCCTCGTCGCACTGGGATTTCCCAATTCACAGCCCGGTCGTTGGAAGGAAGAACTCACTGAAAGCGTGGGATACGGCACTTTGCAGCCGGAGAATTGAGGAGAGGAGGGAAGGGCTTCTTCCTTGTAATTGATCCGTACCTACCGATTTTGGGCATTCAGCCCGGTACCCTTACCTGGTTTCCCGCCATTGCGCCGGACTTGGGGCAAAGGTCAAAGCACGGTGTCCCTGAATAATATTAATTTCATGACCCCGCACTGTCCGCTCTGTTACCTCCGGGTCCCGAGTCACCAGGTATGGAACCAGTGGAAGGAAGCACGAGCGGATATATTACAAGTAGCCCGCGCACGGGTGAAGAAGCCCAGAATCGAGAAATTTTTTTAAAATGCCCTTTTCCGCATTACAGTATTCTTCACTCTCCTCCACCAACATTCTCAGCCCAGCTTCCCCAATCCGTCCCGCACCGGCACAGCGTACAGTACGGTACTCACCCACAATACTCGTACCCACCTTCCAAACCGGGAAACGCCAGAACAGCATCCCCCCCAGCTCCTCCATGCCGACGAATGAACCAGTGCATCCGCTCATCACCCGGGTTTCCCAAAGTCACCCACGCAGCCAGTCAGTCAGATAGTAACTGTGCTATCGAAATGCCGGTACCGCGTAGTAGTATACCCAGCACCCGCAAGCAAATGCTAAAACTGTTTCCACTCGCTTTCTCCCTGAGGGTAAATGGGGCGTACTGGTACGAGTGCGCAGCTGAACCCCATTGGGAAGGAAGGAAGGAATCCCCGAAACGACCACAATTAGAGAGCGAGAAAGCATGCACTGACGTTCCTGTGAATGAAATGACACTGCTTTTCAGGCCCCACTTTGACCCCTCCTCCTCCTCCACAACTATGAGCTCCACCGGCGGCGGGAGAATGCTGCTGCTACGGTAGGAAGGAAGGGAGAGTACGAGTACAGTACAACAGGAGTTGTTGTATCATACCTTACACCAAGAAACATACCGGTATTCTCCATTCCCACGAAGGATTCCACCAAAGGGAGGAGCAGCCAAGCAAAGAAGAAGAAATCAACACTTGGGCAATACCTCCCTCAACAGATCGAGCAGAATTGAAAAGAAAGAAGAAAAAATGGGTACGTGGAAACGTGTCTCCTGGTACTGGTATCCATACACTGAAGTAGACGGACAGCCGGACGGACGGATGTGATGAGCGATACAACGCGATAGGTATGTACAGTACTCGTACTAGTACACGCAGCGTATCTCTTATCGCTCTTCATCCCGCCTGACGGCTGGAATGAGCGGCTAGTTGCACATCATACTTGCTCGAGATACTCACTCTCTGCACGGCACTGTGCCTTGCCTACGCTGCTACTGCAGGAACAGAAAAAAAGCAGGCTTCTCTTGGAGGTGGTGGTGGGTGGGATGGATGAGCGGTAAATTTCCTATTGGATGCTGGGTGGTATTGTATGCATGTTGGTCTGGCAGTTGTGTCCGCTTTGCTTAATCAGTGGAAACACGTACTGTAAACCTACTTGTGCGCTTCTTCGAGCACTCTACAATAGAGCGGGAAGGGTATCACGGGGGAGGGAGGAGAGGAGAGAAGATCAAGATCGGGTGTTTCACCCGTAAAAGAAATAACAGGTAAAACGGTAGCGTAGCGAACCCGTTCAGCCTTACGAACAGCGAATGAAGGCCAGTCTCGCTCGCTTCTCTTCCTCTCTCGTCCCTCTTCGCTCAAGCAAGTGCATATCACGCAGTGATCCCGTCTTGATGATGATGCTCCCTATCGCCCACTGGTTTAACCCTTGGGACATGAGTACCGTACGGTATAGTGCACGCCAAAACCAACCAACCACTACGGTTACAAGTTTGAGAAATGATTGGCCACCAAGCTATTATACCCGTACACATTGCGTTATCATATGCATTATTAACAGCAACAACAACAACAACAACCACTGCCACCGCCATCCCAAAAAATCTATGCTGTAGCGTCCGGTTATCCGGACTGCCATGTTGTGTGTGTCTTGAAATGGTGCATGTCTAGGGGATAAAAGTGTCTTTGCTTGTCTATCTGTTTTGTTTTCTGTTGTTTCGTGTGGATACCACGCGAAGGTTGACTCCCAGCGAGACATTCCAGATCTTGGGTGATTATCCATGTTTTTGTTTTGTCTGATGGGATTAGTTAGGCACAAGTAGTCTACTGTTCTACAAATAGTAAGTTAGTTAGTTAGTGTTTCGGGGGTATGATATGATACAAGTATCGTACTCGAAATTGGGAGGTTGTGGTGGTAAAAGATGGATAGAAATTGTGCCGTTTCGTTTCGTTTTTCTTTGGCTGGGTGGGTGTGCCTCGGAAGTGGGGGCACTGTACTAGTACTG